CCCAGCAATGACAAATCTCCAGGATCCACTGTCCCTGGTTCTGAGACCGCATAGCATGGGAGGCCCCTGCAACTTGCAAGATGGCCTGAAGCAAACAACAAACGTTACGATGCTCCTGTTCAGCCAAAGGAAACAAAAATGAGGTGGGTTTGTAGGAGTGTCTTTTTATCTAATGTGGATTATGTGTTTCCTGTTTCAGGCAGGCGGAGCCCTCTCTCTCATTGGCTATCCTGGAAGATGACTGGGGAAAATCTTGTAATACTTACAAAGAAAGAAGCGTAATATTAGCCGTTGGTTCTCCGAGGTGAGGGATTGCAGTTAGCTCGTTGTAATTCATTTTCCTGGAAAAAGGACAAATATTATCCCTGAAGAAAAAGCTTATCAGAATGTTTTATGCAACCATAACATGTAATGTATAATTTTCCAGTGATTTAAAATAGATCAGCAATAATCTAAGACAACATTTCCATCTATTGATATGTTACTTAATTACATGGTGTATATTTACCTTTGTGCACCCAGTCCAGCCATCATTTTAAGGGTCAACTACCAAGCACTTTTTTCTCCAAGTCCTGCAATGACAGCGGCCAGCTGTGTCATCTACTGGCAAACATGCTAATACAGTGGCTGCTGCAGGACCTGGAGAAGGGCAAAAATAGCTGTGGGCCTAAACAGATTACTGGGCAGTGTAAATAGGGCCAAGGCAAATTTAAGACCTGTGTTTATAGACTTTGGACTTGTGTCAAAGGAACTAGTTTGACATCAATATGAGATCATTCTGAAATTGGCAGGTGCAAGTGACCCGCAGTTGACCTCCTGAACTGTACAAAGCAGGTTTTTAATTCCCGTAGATGTGCAACATGAATGCAAAACCTGCTTGAAGTGAAGCCCAATTGCCCAGGCCCTAGCACTAAACCCACTTAACCTATTCATGGGTTGGTGTTATGTGTAAAATGTGACTCCAGGCAAAAATATTTGCATGTTAAGTCGCTTTGATTGGGTTATTGACATTATCGTTTGTAAGATGTATTTATTTGCCCTCAAAATTCGCTTGCTCTAAAAGAAGAATAAAGGCATAACTAAACCTTCATGTGTTTTTGCATATATCTACTGCTAGCAAGCAGTAGATATATGCAAACATAAAAAAAAAAAGGGGGAACCAAAATAGGTTAAAAATTTACCTGCATGTCTGCCGCACGCTCCTGTCCGAAGATCTGAAGATTCTCGGGCGGCCACAAAGGATCATAGGGCGGGCACATGCGCAGTTCAGATCTTCGGCCAGGAGAAGAGGACACAGGGTAAGTCAATGCAGCAGCGTGCAGCCGCACAGACTCTGTGGGACAGAAGTCAGGAGCAAGCTCTGGAGAGACTCCTGAAAACTACTGGAAAGAATAAGATGATCGGATCACGAGGCATCATTTAAGGCAAGTCCTTAAAAGAGAACTATGGGGGTAAGTGTTTTTCCCAATAGTTCTCTTAAGGGTCACGGGAGGACATACACTAGCGTCCTCCCGTGACCCAAAGCTCAGTATATATCGCGAGCTACAGCTCGCAGTATACTGAGACTGCCGCAGCCGGGACTGATCCCGAGATCCACCCAGCTGCGTGAGTCACAGCTGGCTCTGCCTATCAAGAGGCAGAGCCAGCTGGACCCGCCCCCTCCCCTGGTCAGTGCTGGCTGATCGGAGCTTGAAAGGGGGGGAACCCCTGCAGGGAGCCGTGATTGACAGCCACGGCTCTCTGCAAGGAGATGATCGAGAAGTGAGCGAGCACGGGTGGGAGTTCGCTCACTTCCCGATGCATTGAGCCGACGTGTGACAGTTTCATTGCCACGCGTCGGCTTGAACTATGAGGATGAGTGATTTTCACTAACCTCATAGTTCTCTTTTAAAGCAAAATGGGCAGGGGGGGATAATTTTGACTGTCACTTTAAACCAAAAGAAATTCATGGCTGCACACAAATCTAATACAATGCATAAAAACCAACTGCATGTTAAGTGTAATCACTCTGTAAATGTGGGTCAGTGGAAGGGTATTTACACAGTCAGTGTCTGCATGCGTCTAGGACTTGGGAGTTTTGCGCCATAATAATAACAAAATGACCAGCAGTCAATCAGATAGATATGGATAGGCATCTTGTGGGTGTGTGAACATTTGCAAGTAGGCTTAAAGCTGAAGATGGGAGGTGCAGTCTTATTGGCACTAATACACATCTGCACCAAAGCCACATTAAGATAAATATAGACAAATACCCAGGTCCTTTTTGCATAAGCAAACCATGCAACAAGGCTCACAAAATTAGTTACGTAAGCACTTGTCATCCACCAAATCACACAGCCCTATCACAAAAACAAAAACATTTAAGAGCTTACACTTCTTGCAGAGAGTACAATTCTGGCACCAGGCTGCTGTTGGATAAAGTCAACCAATTGTGACTTATCTCCCTAAAAAAAAATAGATCAGATTAGACACTTAATACAGCACTGCTTGTTTTCCAATACAAACATTAAATTATTGCATATTTACGATCAAGTTAACACCTTGCACCAGGGTTGCCCAAAAGGTAAATCACGATCGCAAGTTGGATTTGGCTGCTCCATTTATCTGGGAGCTCAGCTGCTGCTGCCCGGGTACAGTTCACTGTGTTGGCCAGCCCCTGACACTGTAGGCTGCTGCAGCCGTGTTCTTGGAACCGTTTGAAACAGCCAGCGATTGCAGTTTAAATACAAGTGGTCCACCGTCTGTACAGGCGCGGCACCATGCACCTTCTCCCCTTCTGCGGTGCCGTCGTCGGCTTCCCAGGCTTCGCTGTCCCCCACGAGAGCTCGGGACCGGCACGGCAGGTCTCCCCTGATGGACGGTGGGAGATCAGCAGGCTTCCAGCCGCTCTCTCCTCTGATCACTGGACCCGGAAGTGATGTGCATTACATGACTTCTGGTGTCAATGTACACATTCTCTGGCTCCTAAAGCCAAAAGAAGAAGCTGGTGAAGCAGATCTCTGCTTCAACAGCTTCTTTGGGGTCCTTAGGTGACAATGGGGGTCTGAAAGACCTCTGACGTCTCCATAAAGAAGATCTGTCACAGTATATTTGCTATTACAGAGGGTGCTTGTTATCCCCCTATGTGATAGCAATAAAGTGGAGTAAAACAAAAAAAAACGTTGGCTGCAGGGAGATCGTGCTCCTGCACCCGTGGCCACAAATTGAATAAAATATATATTTTTTAAATCGGCAGAGCTGCCTACCCGAACAAGTGCCTGCTGTGAAGGCTCTCAGGGATGGATCGATTCCCGGTCGGTGCGAAGTCCCGATCGCTGTCTGTACTGTGGCCCGGCGGAGAGGTCAAGTCTACATGTGGGGACAAGATGGCGGGCGCCATGATCTCTTCACCGCAGCGGAGCCCCTCTCCCTCCTTTTCGCAGGTGGCAATTCCAGATGAAGGGGCATATGAAAAAATCGCGCTGGCGGTCGCTAATCTGCTTAAACCCACCATTGCTCTTGGAGGAGGAGTTGCTAGAGGGGAACACAAAGGTGACTGCTTTTGATGACCTATCCGAATCGCTTATAGCCAAGATTGATGACTTGGAGAATAGGTCCAGGAGAAACAACCTCAGGAAAATCGGTTTGCCTGACCTATGTCCTGCCATTATACCAGAGGTGTTGTAGTGGAGCGCACACATAGAATGGGGCAGCAGCAACCTTACAGAGCAAACCCTAGACCGGTTATTGTCCGGTACTTGACAAATATGCTGACAAATTCCTCATCATGCAAAAGTACCGTTCATCTCGCTCCTTAGACGTTGATGATCCCAAGTTATTGATATTTGCTGACTACTCGGCGGAAGTCGCTAGGAAGCGTAAAGCTTTTAATTAGATATGCTTCGCTCTATACCAAAAGCAAATACGATTCACGTTGGCGTACCCTGCTGTTCTCCACCTGGAAACACAGGAGACAAATGCTCCTTTCAGGATCCTATGGAGGCGGAATCTTTTTTCAACTCCTATTTGCATCATTTCACTAATGGCGGCGGATGGCATTGGCACGGATTCCGCTTAGCCCACATTGGAAAAAAGTAATTACTAAGATGTTTTTTGTTTTCTGTTGATTTCATGTTCTTAGTTTTATTTGTTTTGGTTGTTAATTTTTCCCATATTGCTGGTTGCCTTCTAGATTTCTGGTATATCTATGACCCTGGATGGGTGGTGTCCGGGTGTGCACAGCAGCTGCCTGCCTCTTTCATCGCAAAGACCCACATGTTGACCGAGGGTTCTAACTGGGTATGTAATTTGGCCCTAGGTATTCTATCGACCCCCCAAGGACACATACATATGTAAACCCGCTTGTCCACGTCATCTATCCAGGGAATTTTCATGGAACGTTAAGTGGATGCGACCTCCGCCTAAGCGTAATATGGTTCTACGACATCTTAACCGTTTGAATGCTATTGCAGGAGACTCATTTAAGGGTGGAAAGATGTGCCACTTCTTAAAAAACTTTGGGCGGGGGACACCTTTGGCTCTCCCTCAGTAGGCCGCAAGGCGGAAGTGGTGATTCTACTGCACAGAAGGCTCCCCTATCAGGTGGTTAAGGTCGACAGTGATGACGAAGGTCGGATGCTGACGTTAAACCTAAAATGCTTTGATACGGAATTGTCGATCTATAACATATATATGCATAACTCACCGACCAAATCCCATTTCACCCCGGTTTCCTCCTGGCTGGCAAAAACCACCAACATGCACCACCTGGTGGGGGGG